GCCTGCCCCTACCCTGCCTGTCCAAAGTAGTTTCCTCTTTCCTTCTCCCCCAAGTTGAGAAGGGGGCCGAGAGGCAGGCAACTGCTAACCCCTGGCCTTGCCAACCAGCATTCAGCTTTGGCTCTGCCAAAGCCTCTGGGCTCATGCCTGGCCTTCAGTTCAAACTCACTGACACGATGTGTACCTGCGAGGGAGCAAGGCTCTTGCCCTCCTGTGGACAGGTATGACAGTCCTTGCTATCGCCTGCAAGGTTCAGGACAGAGGGAACTGGGGGCCTTGGGGAGGCCAGAGGAGTCCAGGAACCAGTTCAGTGGGGGTGAGTAGGACTCGAAGGTGATGGCCAATGGGGATGGGGAAGGGACGGGAGCAGGGACCAGCAGTCTGTGAAGAGGTTTGGGTTGGGGCCAGCAGGTGGTGTGGTGAATAAGGGCGCTGGATTTCCACATGGCCAACCATGGTTCAAGTCCTGGACCTGGTAGCTTGCTTTCTCACTTTCCCTTTCTCTCTCTCTCTCTCTCGTCAAGTAAAGAAAAATAAAAATAACAAATGGAAATAAATAATTCTTAAAAAAAAAAGAGGTTTGGGTTCACTGGGCTTCTGCAAATGAGAAAAATGACTACAGAAAGCCACATGTGTTCAATGTAAAGGAATTGGCTTATATTCTGCAATGACTTCATTTCCCCATTGCCATGAAAAAGACCCTTCCTTTACAAATTGGTGGCGAAACTAGAAGGTAGTTTTGGAAATATCTTGTGTTAGCATAAGTTGGTAGCCCAACGTGGGTCCTCAAGTATACGTTGAAATGTCACTAGCCATGTGACGTACAAAGGTCTAGAGCTCCCCGGTGTCCTTCCTATGCGCTAGTCTCCTCATCTGTCATGTGGGCTTGATGATCTCCACCTACCCCGGTTGCTGGGAAGGAGAAATAGCAGAAGGTCGAGGCAAGAACTTTAGAAAGCTGCAGAGAGCCTTGCTTTCTGAGTCCTACATACTGACATCTGCACCCATCCTGGTAGGCCATCCTGGGCCGTGGCCGTGTGACCCACGTGACGGTGAGGCAGTGAGAT